AATCCCAAAGTTACATCCAGGTCAAAAAGACATCACTTATAATTTAAATATTTTGAGAAGCTTGTCTAAAATATCAAAAGGTTAGGACATTTGATCAAATAGGATCACAGATCATTATGAAATAATACTTAAGGATCTGTTTGTTTATTTGTTTGTTTTGTTTTGTTTTGAGGAAGATTGGCCCTGAGCTAACATCTGTTGCCAATCTTCCTTTTTTTTTCCCTTTTTTCTCCCCAAAGCCCCAGTACCTAGTTGTATATCCTAGTTATACATCCTTCTGGTTCTTCTATGTGGGACACCGCCTCAGCATGGCTTGATGAGCAGTGTGTAGGTCCATGCCCAGGATCCGAACCAGTGAACCCCAGGCCGCTGAAATGGAGCACGTGAACTTAACCACTACACCAACAGGCCAGCCCTCTTAAGGATCTATTTGACCAAAGTAACAATAACAGGTTTCAAAGGCAAATACAAAAGGTCACATAGTTGTAAGCAAAACTTAATCCTTTATATTAAAAGGACTCAGTTTTCCTAAGTAATTAAAGACTTGATTTTTAAAAAAACAGAAAATTGTTTTAATAAAATATAAAATCTGTTTTCTAGACATATTACTTAAAAGTAAAGCTTTCACAATGTTTCACCAGCAGACCAATAATAGCTCAAGAAAACCTTGTCCTTTTAACAGAAAACAAAGCCAAATTTTAAGTTTGCATCAGCTTATTTTGACATTAAAACTCATTCATTCTAATCTTAGCCAGTCCTGACCATGCATAAAATTTCTTTTCCAAGATTCCTTGCCATAAACTTTCTACAACTTTCTTTTTACATTCAGATTTTGTCCTATGTTTTTCTCTTTCCCATTCTAAAATAACCAGCTTCTCTTTAGGACAAAATTATTTTCTTTTCCCTCAACAAAATGCATTTCCATTCCTCATACCTTCCTTTACGGAAACACACATCCTACTTTCCTTGTGTACAGAGATACTTCCCCTTTTGTTTCTAATAGCTTTAGTTACACATATTAGAATTCTTAACACTGAGAATCCTTAATTCCTAGTGAAAACTAAGAAGTAAGCAGTTGTGAACTATATTAGCATTTTTTGGGTTGGCGAACTTATAAATGTGTTTTATAAGTTTCTAGAAATGTGTGCCTTTTTTCATAGAAAATTTCTCAGTGTGGCATAAAACATGTTTGCTAATAGTCTCAAATATCCTTAGCCTCTCTACAATAGAAAGCCAAAAGTAGATGAACCCATGTTCAGTAATAATGTTTATCTTATTTGGAAATGATGTAAGTATTCAATGACTATCCATTATTATTATTATTCTTTTTTGCTGAGGAAGACTTGCCCCAACCTAACATCCACTGCCAATCTTCCTCTTTTTTTTGTACATGAGCCACTGCCACAGCATGGCCACTGACAGATGAGTGGTGTAGGTCCGTGCCTGGGAACCAAACCCAGGCCGCCAAAGCGGAGCATACCGAACTTAACCATTGGGCCACCAGGGCTGGCCAATGACTATCCATTATTTAGTTTAACTTAGTATAAACTTTGATCTTATTTACACTTATTACTTGCTTTCAACAATTATGCTTGGATTAGACATTAAATAGCCAACCATCATCTTAAGTTACTTTCTTGCTGACAAATTCTGAAACAGAGATAATATAAGTTTAACAAACCCAGGTAGAATGAAAATTTTATATCTGCACTATATTTAGCATTGCTGACTATAAAGATACACCTGTTTCAATTAAACCAACAACCTTAAGCTAGCTTTTGTTTACTAAAGATTAATCCTAGATCACATAAACTTGAAAAGCATTTGAGTTAGTTTCCATTATATTTCTGAGGTTTAGGAATACTTAATTTTTAAGTCCTTAATTTTGAGGCAATTAAATAGAGCTCTGTACAAATTAGTTTTGGTAACACCATTCAGAGGTAGAAAAATATCACATCTCTATAACATGCAGATGCAGATATACATAGAGACAGGCACAGACAGAGATCTCATAGTCTTCATTTAAAAAATTTTAGCCACGTCTCAGGTGCAAAACTCAAAAGAATAGTTGGATCCAAATTGTATTTCTGGCAGATGGACTAAGTTAAGGTTACTTATTCAGATGGCCAAAGTCTTTTACTAAAGATTTTTATTTGCATGCAGTAAAGATTCTTTTAGAGCTGTTTTTGGAGTCATTTTGCCTATTATTAAAAGTCTAGGGTAATAGCTATTTAAATTTTTCCTTCTAGTTGTTTATTTGCTCCAGTTAACCTAGAAATAGTAATTAGGGGGTTAGCATTTGGATTCTCAGAAGGTCTGATTTTAAAAGGACAGGTTTTTGCAGAAGGGAAGAGAGGAAGATGGTGTTGGGGTAGAGCCTGGGTACAAGATGGCTGCTGGGGTGGTGTCTGAGACAAAGGAGACAAGGAAGGCAAACAAGATGGCACTTGAGACAAAGAAGAAGGCGGAGGGGAACATGAGGCTTCAGAAACCTCCTGTTTTAGTGGTTTGGCTAATTTAGACAAAGTATCTTGTAGTGAGCTGATTTTAGAGCTTTATGTGCACCCAGAAGCCTCCAGGTACCAATGAAAATAGACATAGCATTTGTTTTGCTTAATTTTAGAGCCACAGTCTTCCAACTTGGTTTCAAGAAAAGTGACTTTGGGGAGATCAAAAGTTCCCCATAACACTCATTGCAATTCCACACTGCAAAGAAAGAATTGCAATTTGGGATGTGCATGCTACGGCAAACCATAGGCAAATCCAAAGAACAAAAGAGGGAAGCTTTTATAAAGAAAAAGGGGGACTGGGGAGGGGATATCCTAACCCAAGGTCCATTGCAGGAAAGTAGTTTGGGGCGGCAATGTCTTCTCATCACCTGAGCTGTGGCATTTCTCATTGGCTGGGCTGTGGCATTTCTCATTGGCTGGGCTGTTGCCAGGTGGGGAGAGAATCTTCCTTCAGTAGTAAAGTAGTTGTACTTCCAGTCAGAGATGCAAGCCCTACCTCTCTTCCTGTTTGGAGTAGTTGAAGATGTATGATAGGGTGTGAGCACTCCCCCTACAGGCCTCCCTGACTCTAATTTAGTTGAGGTTTCTCTTATTTATTTTACAATCCTAATCCCTGGAACCTGTGAATATGTTATGTTATATGGCAAAGTGGAATTAAGAGTGCAGATGGAATTGATGTTGCTAATCAGCTGACTTTAGGGAGAGTAGCCTGGATTATCCAGGTGGGCCCAATGTAATCACAAGGTCCTTAGAAGGAGAAGAGGGAGGCATAAATTAGGGTCAGAGTGGCTTGATGTGAGAAGGACTCAAGTCACCATTACTGACTTTGAAGATGAAGGAAGCTATGAGCCAAAGAATGTGGACAGCTTCTAGAAGCTGGAAAAGGCGAGGAAGGCAGTTCTTCTCTAGAACTTCCCTAAGGAACACAGCTTTGCTGACATTTAGCCTAATGAGATCCATCTTGGACTTCTGACCTCCAAACTGTAAGATAATAAATTTGTGTTGTTTTAAGCCATCAAGTTTGTGATTATTTGTTACAGCAGAAATAGAAAACTAACACAGCTTCAAATTTTACCTAGTTTCTTGTTCTCTCGTGGTTATAGGTTTGACATATTCACTTTTAACAAAAGCACACTGACTGAACTAATTAAGGCCAATTTGGAATCCTACTCATTAAAAAACATAATTCCTAAATTTATACATTATTGTTGTTGCAAAAGATTATTGATGCTAATGTCTAGTTAACATTTTCTTTTAAAAATTTAATAAAATGCTTTTTAATAATCTCCAGTTATAAGAACAAATATAGAAGGGTTTTGGAGAGTCAATAAAATATTTGTTTTAAGTATTTTTTTTAAAGGCTGTATAGCCAGGGCTCTGGATTCAAAGTAATCTCTGTAATTTACTGGCTGTGGTTTGGGAAAATTAACCTGTCTAAGCCTCCATTTCATCATTTATAAAATGGAAATAAAAATGATTGGATCTATACAATAGATTTGTGGAAAGATTTAATAAGATAATCTATGACAAGTCCTTAGCCTCTGGTATGTAATTAAGTGCATCACAGTGTGAGCTATTATTTTTGTTACTGAATTATCTTTCCGATTTTAAAAACTTCTCTAACAAAAAAGTACAGCTTCCAAAACCCCTGCTGTGAGGGAACGCCAGGTGATATAGTGGTTAAGTTCCCGTGCTCCGCTTCCCTGGTCGGTAGTTCGCAGGTTCGGATCCCAGGCGTGGACATACGCACTGCTCATCAAGCCATGCTGTGGCAGGTGTCCTACATATAAAAAAGAGGAAGATGGGCACGGATGTTAGCCCAGGGCCGACTGTCCTCAGCAAAAAGGGTTGGCAACGGATGTTGGCTCAGGGCTAATCTTCCTCACCAAAAAATAAATAAGTAAATAAATAAAATAGACTGTTTTAAAAAAACAGCCTGCTGTGTTGGCGACCTGCACATTTAATAATCTATCGCTTCTCTTTCAATTTTAACTTCTAAAGAAGCAGCAGTAAACCATTCCGAAAATAGCATCTCCCTTGGCAATACTTAATCGAGAGTCAACAATTCTTTTATGAAATATTCATTCACTAAAGTAATTGTTAAAAAAAAAAAGGGGGGGGGGTTAAGATGATGGCCTAGCTATAGATCCTAATTAAGCTTTTTTTCATTTCCCTAAGGCGGGGCGGGGTGAATTCTTCGCTAGGCACACGGTGAACTCCTTGCCCGCACTGCCTCAGCGTAAAAGAGGGAGCTCCGGGACTTCGCCAGGGCGCGGTGCCAGGTGAGCCGCGGCGGAGCGGAGACGCCGAGCTGGGACTCGCCGTGCTCGGAGCGCAGCGCGAGGAGCGGCTGTAGGTTGTTAAGCTTCGCCCTCGTCGCCCCGCGCCCTCGTGGTCTCCCGGCGGTGCGCGCCCGGGGCCCCCAGGCCAGAGGACGCGCTGGGCTTGATCTGTCCAACTTCTGGGGCGTGCACGGTGCTCTGGCCGCCCTCCCGGGTCTCCTCCCCGCGCCCCGGCCCCATCTCGCTTCCCCAGGGCTCCGGAAGGGAAGGAGGCGTGTCCGGAGCAGGCGGGAGGGAGCTATATAAAGGTGCTGGCGGCGCGCCGGCCCGGGCTTCACTCGCCGCCTCGCGCAGGGACTGGGAGCGCCGCGGGAGTCACGGGCCGTGGAGAGGGCGCTGCTCTCTGTCTACCCAATGCGTGGACTATCTGCAGCCGCTGCTCGTGCAATATGCTGGAGCTCCAGAACAGCTAAACGCCGTCGCCACACCGCTGCCTGGGCTGGATCACAGCGCTGCCTTTCCTTATGAAGAAGACACAAGTGAGTAGGGCGCGCCTGGGAGCTCGCCGGTTCTCCAAGAAAATCGCGCCCGGGGCCCGGGAGAAGCTGGCGCGTCCCGCCGCCCGCTGCCGGGGCATGCAGGGCTGTGCCTGCCTGGCGAGCCAAGAGGGTGCGGGGGAGGCGGGCGTGGCAAGCGAGCCCGAGCCGCCCGGCCCCGGTGAGCCCGAGAGAGAAGGAGTGGGAGTGATGAGTGGGAGCGGGTGTCAAGTTTGGAGCCGCGTCCGTTAAGTTTGGAGCTGTCAGTCGGGCACCGCAGTTCCTGTAAGATGGAAGGATCTGCTCTTTGACCGTGGAGTTGAAGTTATCACAGGAAGGCATGTCTTTGCACGGGAGACATTTTCCCGTGGATTCCAGGAGATTACAAGACAGCCCCCTGCGCGCCACCCTCGCCCTCAGATTTTTGTGCAGCCCCCAGGCGGGCGCCGGGCTCGTAGGGACGCGGGTGCAGCCCTGGGAGCGAAGCCAACCCCGAGTTCCTTAGCGGCAGCGTTCCGCGGGGCGGAGAACCTCCCTGGCCAGCCCGGGAAACTTGGCTCCCGCGGCGTTTGCCAGGTTTGCGGCTCTGGGTGAGGTCCCCAGAGAGCTCTGGACAGGGTAACACCTTCACGTTGCGCCCACTTCCTTTACAGAAGAGAAAAAGTTTTTTTTGTTTTTTTTTAATGGGCACATCTAATGATAGTTATTGCGATAATTCCCAATGCTGCTAAATTGCGCATTCTACATAAACACTGTGGGTAAAGCACCGCCCCGGGGTACAATTAAATTTTTTTCCTTGAAGCAAATATCTGGCGTATCCTTCAGAAAGAGCCGCCACGGTACTTCCATCCGTAGTTCTTTTCACCACGGCAGTTCTTACCTCTTCTCGCTTCTCCCCTCAGGAATTTTTCTGTGTATCTGCCGTGGGTTGGGTAAGGCTGCCCTTTCACCCCCCAGAGGTTCTATCGGAGATTGCAATTCCTGAAACGTGTGGAAGGGGTGGAAGTGGTGGGGAAATTGGGAGTTTGTACAAATCATGGGTTTAGAATGAAGGCATCATGTGCTGAAAAGTCCCTATTAAATGATCTGCTTCGTATCATATTTTAAGTAGATGTCTAGGCCTGGGAAATGTACACATTCAGAAGGAAGTAGAAAGAATCGAGCGTGTTGCACTGGTGTGGAAAAGGGCAGGGGGAAGGGACATTGCCTGGGAGAAAGGAGGTTTGTGTAGTCTCTCGGGCAGCAGCCTAAGACGTAGAGGAGCGGAGCTCGGATTCCTCTCGTGCAGGCAGGTTAGTTTATTGGCAAAGCATTGAACGCCACACCTGGGATCACCACAGTGTGCTGTTGAAATGCAAATGTTAAAGACTCTGGCAACAAAAGAAAAATCTTGATGTAATTGCTTGAGTTATACAAGCTTTCTGCTTTGTGGAATAGTAAGCAAGGGCAGGGAACAAATTCCTTGTTCTAGTAGCATCAGCTCAGGTGAATGGTAGAGATCTTGGTGGAGAAACCGCTGCCTCCTAGTTCAGGAAAAGAGCGTAAACCTTCCTATTTAAACAAGCCAACACAGGAGACAGATCAGGTTAATGACCAACACTCCAAAGTGGGGAGATGTACTCTCAAGTCACTTTCAGAGTCAGTAGGAGGGATGATCCTTGCACCCTTGCTTTGCAAAACAAATGTGAGCTCTGTAATCTCCTTTCTCACTTTGATTAAATGGCTGTGTAAATCGGATTACATGGAATAATTTCATTGACAGCTAGACTAGACAGAGGTCGATCTAGCCTGAAACGCTGTGGCATTAGTGACTCGGTGCTGCCCACCAGGGACATTTGAAACAGCTAAGTATTTTAGAAATGTGACCTGTTGGGACCAAGTTAAAGTGCAAGCCCTTTGGGAGACCTTGCTGATGTTAAAGGGCTTGCAGGCAAAGGAGGGCAGTGCCGTTGTTGAATGAAGGCATTCATTGCCTGGGATCTAATGACCTTCAAGGTTTCCTTTAAGGATACTTCTAGCAATTCCACATTCTTGCCACTGAAAAAGGGGACACTGGAAATAGCATGAAATCAGTAAAATAATCCGTGGATTTGGGGAGGGGGATTAGATCCTCCTTCATGTTGTTAAATTTCCTAATCCAAAAGTTACAAAGAAATTATCTGTCCACCTCTGTATGGATGGAGTGTAGCATAAGAAAATCAGACACTAAGTAAGATCAACTGTTCTACCGAATCTATTGTTATCTTTGCCAGGGTGGAATATCTATTGATATTCAGTAGTTTAAATAGTCATTTATAAAGATGACATCAATACCAGCCTTCTATTATAAGGCAAGTGGTTCTGTACTCTTGAATTACCCAAAATATAAAATGAGAATTTAATGATGATAATAAACTTTCACTTGAATTATGCAGCTCTCTAAGAATCAAGGGGACATTAGACATTCTGGCCTTTCAGTCAGTTTGGAAATTCCAGCAACAACCACTTGAGGTTTGATAAATGATTCTTTCATTCATTTAGCACGTGTGATGGACTTCAGTATTTGGAAAATAATTACACGGGCAGTAGTCAGGAGGAGCAATTGTAACAATAAACTTAATCACAAGTCTGTAGAAGTGAATACGTTTTGCATTTTTCAGATTTCTGATTGTGTTTTATTCATATTTTGTGGTTTTACAGTTTCTCAGGGGAAATGTGGCTCTGGCTTAGAAAGAACAACTATTTCAATGTATAATCATTTTTTCCAACATAATCCTCTGATATATTGGTATATTAAATAACAATTGGGCAGCACATTTTGTAAGACCGGTTAGAAAAATGCTATCAGTTTAATGGGCCTGGCGCCGTTTTTATTGATATAGTTACATTTTAGTTTTGAGATGATTTTTGAGAGTTTTCATGACTGCTGTCAGTTTTAGAAATACTAAGGAAAAATTCATCTTGCAAACTGTAGAAAAGGCCATTTGAGGCACACATTAGTTCTCAGAGGAGAAGCAGATAGAATGCTTGTTAGTTTTTGTTATTCCAAAGAAAATATCCCTCTTTTGTCTATATGAAATTTGTCACCTGGGTATGATGTGAGTTTATTGGAAAAAACATTAACATTTATGAAAAGAGCATTTTTTAATCTTGTCCTTAAAAATCACTCCATTTGGAATGTGTGCTTTGACTAACTCTAATTTATGTAGCTTTTAATTGATACATTCTGCCAAGACTTTAAAACTCGAGTGCTAAGTCAATTATTTAACGTAAAACAAGGAAAATAACCGTATGGAAATCTGAAGGCCTGAGCCAAACCAATTAAAATTGCTAAATTGTATTTATGTAACTGCTGATTTGAAGACAGCAAATTGTGAGTCACATCTGTTCTTTAATGAAAGGTGATTGAAATCTTTCCATCACCATAAATAACAGAAAAAAAAAAAAAATCTGTGCCCAAGTAGCTAGTCTGAATATTGGAGGTTTCTTGCCTGGTCCATTGAACTCCCCACTGCACGTGCCCTCCCCATCCGTGTGTGAGGAGCACCTAAGGTAGCGGTGGAGAGATCCTAGGCTGTAGCTTTTGAAGACTTAGATTCTAATTCCTGTTCTACCACTGATGAGACAGATGACCTTGAGCAAGTGGTTATTAAACTTCTTGGGATTTCCATTTTGTAAGCTGTGCAATGATCATAAAGTAGTTATAAATATTTTTTTTACATGGTCGTGGTAGGGAGTAAATGAGATTTTATATATGTCTTTATCCCAGCACAGTGGCTTACTATAGTTACAGTCTGAATTTATGTCCCTGAGAAGAGAATTGCCAGCCGGCTAATTTAGAAACCAGAGAAAAACTGGCCATTGCAGGTAAATGATGTTTTCCCAGCAAAGCACAGAGACCAAGTTTCCTTAAATCTGGACCTGTGGATTCAGGGCTTCCCATTAGAGGCTGATATCTGTTTATGGACTATATTTAACACACCTCAAACCAGGAATGTGTGAACACAAAGGCTATATGTGGCATGAGAGATATTAAATTGTTTACAGTTTTTCTTTAAAAGTGAAAATGAGAGAATTAGAATTGAAAATAGAAATAGAAAAAATGGAAATATCACCATCTCTGATTCACTTCCATATTTCCACACTCGTGCTTTTGAAATTCCCCTTGTATGATTCTGAGGGTTTATTTGATTTGATTTTAGACGAAAGAGACTTGGTCAGCTTCCTATCCCCTGGGTTTCCTGTACTTGTTCTTGAGGCCAGGCATTCATTTCTACAGAGTGTCTTTATTGTCTTTACCAGGCAACATGTGGTGACTTTTTTTTTTTCCTTCGTTATGCAAGTTTGGGAGATTTTTTTTTTTTTCTTTTCTTGATTACCTAACATTCCCTTTTGTAAATCAGGGTAATGCATTTGGATATAAATCTCTGAGGAGTGATCTTTTTAATCTTTGTGTTCTGGGACATGAATCACGAGCAGCTGCAGGAGACTCTGTTTTTGGTGTTAGTCACCTGTGTAGTCAGAACAATTTATGAAACAAATTGAGGGAATGCCAGGATGCTTTTATAATATGTGCTCTTTTCAGGGTTGTATAGACTTTGTCTCATAGAAACCATTGACTGTAGCCTTACTGATTTATAGATGCAGCAAGATGTTTTTGCCTTTTCACTTAATTATGGGCATACTAAAAACTGTTACAGGGCTGGAAGTTTGAGAGAACTGTCATTATCCCATCTCTACCTGTTTCCTTCTGTCCAGGAAAAGGAGGTGGTGGGGGGTGATTTTCTTATAATTAGGCTTGTGGTTCTTTTTTTAAAATCACAATGTGTATCATCTAAAGGAAGACCGTTCTTGATGTAGCTCTCTTTGTCCTTTTGGTTACATTTTACTATTTTTCTAGGCTGCCACGTTGACCTGGATATTAGGGGATGGAGTTCTTTTATTAGCATGGATACTGAGTTGTATGAATTTGGGAGGGTATCTTCCTGAGCCTCTCTGAACCTCAGTTTTCTTAACTGTAAAAT